CTCACATGTCCAGAAGTTAATGGCTCGCTGGATGAGGTCCTGCGGCATGTGAAGAGGAGGAGGAACAAGTAGGAGGATGAACTTCAAGCAGAGGCAAGGGCAGAAATCAGTGAAAAACACATACAAACATGCTCTTAACTATGCCACGAGGGTAAAAGAAGCTGCTGTTTCTATTTCCTTGACACCCGCTCGCAGAAAGGGTGAAGATGGAGGTGTAGTTTAATATACTTCTCTGGAGGCTGAGTAGAAGAGGGACATTTTGCAAACATCTTTGCTTTATGAGCCCGGAGTCGTGGCTTCGGGTCCCATGAGCTGAACACGGGCTGCAGCTGAGATGTTCCCTCCTTGTCAGGAGAGAGGGGAAGAAGAGGATGGGCAGAACTGGAGCCTGGCTCTGCTCTCCTGACATGTCCACACATGGCTCTGGCTGCAGGCAGGCAGGCAGGCAGGCAAACACGTATGCCGCAGCATCGTCGGAGCTGGAACAACCAGCTCCCAGAGCGCAGCCGGGGAGCACCGTTTCACAGACATCTCCAAGGCATGGTGCTTAACACACTGCCCTGGTCCCACAGGGCTGAAAGGCTCGGGCTGTCTCCAGTTAAACACAGGGGCCATGTGCTGCCCTGTGCAGGAGTGAGCTCTAGTAGCACAGACCAGCTGCAAACCCAGCTCAACCAGCCAAGGCAGGTTTCTGGCAGCCTTTCATCACTGAACTGGCAACTCGCGTGTGCCCCAGACTCACGTGGACTGGGTGGATCGTGGAAAAGTAACCGAGAGAGCGAGGCAGACAGAGGATTAGATTTTTCCAGGATATTTAGAACTACTGAATCACAGAGCAAGACACATCTAGTCCAACCCCCTGCTCAAGGCAGGATCATCTCTATCCAAACCATCTCATGCCAGTGTTTGTCTAAGCTATTCATAAAAACTACACAATCAACCCCCGCTGCACAATTTCAAGGCACATTGACCAAAGACATCAAGAGCCCCCAGTAAAGCTCAAGGTAAAGCCAGGGGATGAAGGCTGTTAGGTCCTGCCACTAAAAAGGGTGTTAAAATGCACTCAAGGGATCCAAGAAGAGGGCTGTGTCCCCCAATACAGAGGAAGGCAAAACTCCCCCAGTCCATCCCAGTCTGACCATGGGGTGAAATTCCTTCCTGATCCCAAATGTGGAAATCAGTCTGACCTGGGGGGCAGCAAGCATAACTCTATTTTAAGTGCCTAAGGGTGAAAATCAGTCTCATGTGAGGATTTTCAAAGCACTTAAGTGATTTCACCTTGGGAAAAAAAACCCGCAGCATCCTTATAGGCTCAGCAGTGCTATGTTGGCTAGCACTATGGAAGAAAGAGACTTGGGGGTCATCATTGACCACAAGATGAACATGAGCCTGCAGTGCGATGCTGCAGCTAGTAAAGCAACCAAAATGCTGGTTTGCATCCATAGATGCTTCTCAAGCAAATCCCGGGACGTCATTCTCCCCCTGTACTCGGCCTTAGTGAGGCCGCAGCTGGAGTACTGTGTCCAGTTTTGGGCTCCACAATTCAAAAAGGATGTGGAGAAGCTTGAGAGAGTCCAGAGAAGAGCCACGTGCATGATCAGAGGTCAGGGAAGCAGACCCTACGATGACAGGCTGAGAGCCCTGGGGCTCTTTAGCCTGGAAAAGCGCAGGCTCAGGGGTGATCTGATGGCCACCTACAAGTTTATCAGGGGTGACCACCAGCATCTGGGGGAACGTTTGTTCACCAGAGCGCCCCAAGGGATGACGAGGTCAAATGGTCACAAACTACTACAAGATCGTTTCAGGCTGGACATAAGGAAGAATTTCTTTACTGTCCGAGCCCCCAAGGTCTGGAACAGCCTGCCACCGGAGGTGGTTCAAGCGCCTTCATTGAACACCTTCAAGATGAAACTGAATGCTCATCTTGCTGGGATCCTATGACCCCAGCTGACTTCCTGCCCTTTGGGCGGGGGGCTGGACTCGATGATCTTCTGAGGTCCCTTCCAGCCCTGATGTCTATGAAATCTATGAAACTTGGTTCCACTGTGCATATGCCGTACAGTGTATACTTTAATTACAAAATTGTGTACCTTTTTCACAAAGACCCCCTCTGTATGATTCAGGGCACAGGATGGCAGGGTGGTGGGGATGAATAAGTATTAAATAGTGAACTCTTCTTAGGAGGAGCCTTGATTCATTTGTTGAAGAAGTTAGAAAGTATGCAGTGAGAGGCAAGGGAAGACAGAAAAAAAAAAAAGAACATTCCCATGATGAAGGCAGTTGAATGGGGCTGCTAGACGATACCTACCTGATATAGGGCAGGACACTTAAAGGAAATGCTTCACTGGGATCTCTGGGGGTGTTCTCATGATTTGGTACCTGACTTGAGACCCTGGGTTATGATGTACGGAGCACTCTGAGCTGCACCTGAAGTCAGCGGGAACTGTGCTTGGACCATATAAAGGGCCATATACTGCTAGATACTAGCAAAAATCTGGTCCTAGGCATCTCAGATTGGGCATCCAAAATGGGCAAATGCATCTGACATTAATTTTTATATGGCTAAACTCCCATCTGTAAAATAGGACTAATACCACCCTTTCTTCTGTCATGGATACTGTGAAATATATTCACTAATGTTTGTGAAGTGCTCATATACTACACTTAGAACACCAAATTAAAACTCATGAGGAAATTTATAACTGACTCCACAGGGCAAGGTTTTAACAGTGTGAAGTAAGAGACATAATGGACAAACACTGGACAACCAGGAAAAAAGAAAATATTGCAGAGCTGCTCATTAAGTGAATGCTGTCCACCTCTGAGACAGGGGTCCTTTGGAAAAAGTAGTCTGTGGCCAGGTAACTAAAGAATGCTGTATTAGCCTACAATAGTAGGCTTAGCAGGATTTGATTTTTATCAGTAAACGTTGATAAACATCAATATCACCTCACCCTCACAGACCCTCATCAGATTTAATAATCAAAATTTATAGAAAAGGGACATAAAAATGACAGCTGATGGAGTGTGTGACACCAGGGGGAGTGGTCCTATAGAACAGCTGACTGTAGTTGGGACTACAACCCCCAGGAACCCCAGGGGACAGGGAACAAAGCAAGAGGAAGTGACAAAGTGGAGGAGGGAAGCTACGGGTGAGCAGAGCCAGGACTGATGGCAGCTCTGCTGCTCATCTGACGACAGTCCTACAGTAGTTACGTTTGTCATGAATAAATTGTCTTTCCCCCCACATCCCTAATTTTGTGTAATCCTGAAAATTTTAACTGAAAAAAAGTGAAATAAATGCTAAAAAATAAACATTGGTAGTATCCATTGAAATTATTAAAAAATAAAAATCGAATTCTGCCAAGCCTACTATTGTAATGCATATAGACCAAAGGGCTGAATTGGAGTTGTAAGGGCACCCTTAATTATGGTACTTTTTATGTTTGAATGCTTGCCTTTGCAACCTCACTAATATTGTTTAATGTCGTTTGGTGTGTTATATTTTATGTTCTGCCACAGTGTATCATACCTCCCTCTGACTCAGCTTCCCTTTCTGTGAAATGAGGATTATGAATCTTACCCCTTCCTTTCCAAGAATATGATGAATCAGTTTCACTTAATAGAAGAGCTATGAGACTATACAGGTCATCTGCAGCTTATCAAATAAAAAAGGATTTCCAATAGTACATTCCCCTCTGCCTTTCGGTATACAATAAAGTGTTGAAAATCATATTTAAAATGTCAGTGGTACTACTTGAGCAGAGGATGAACTGAATGTTCTGAGAGGTTTTCCTTTTCTTATTTCTGTGCTTCTGGCAGTGTATGTTTCTTCTTGAAACAGGAGTATGAGTAGCAGAATATGTAGCAGAGGAAAAAAGGTTTTAAAAGAAGGAGCATAAAGAATCTGGGACCCTGAAAAATCAGTTAACCTGTGGCATCTTAACTGTGTACACAGAGCTCCCTTATTTCTACTATTTCCCTTCTGTCATGCTGGGTGTAACTTTTGAATCTTCTGGGCTAGTTCTTAGGAGTTTACCATTTGATTCCAAATTTGTATTCTGCAAAGTGTTTGTCCTGTCTGGTTATCCTTGAGGCCAACAGCGAATATGAGTTCTCTGCTGCTCACTGATGTCTATGTTGTTTTCCTTTCTGTAGGATGGAGGCTGCAGCTGTCCAGGAGATGTCGCCAAAGCTTTTGGTAAGTATGGTCTGTGGTCAGGTTTTGAGAAATTGAGTCATTCCTGATATAACTCCACTGCAGTCAGAGTGTTGCCAAATCTGACAGAGGTAGCACTTTGCTGTGTTTTTTTTTTTTTTTTTTGAATATGCCATGCACTGGGCATCATCAGAGTGTAAGGACCTTCCATTCTGCCCACCTGCTTACTGTTCTGAATGGGCAAAGAAAATTGGTGGCCCTATGTGTGTCCAATAAGACTGTGATCGTGAACACAGCTAGTGCCCTAGAAAAGTTGTTGGCGTGTCAGCTGCCCAGCCGAAGAGCTAGGATATTATGAATACCAGGACTCAGAAATCATAGAGAAGTAGGGCTGGAAGGGATCTCCAGTGGTCATATAGTCCAACTCCCTGCCTGAGACAGGATCATCCCTATCCAAGCCGTCCTATACAAATTCATAAGCTAACCTCTTAGTAAAACTGCCGTCAACCCTGAAACAAGATGTAACAGCCTAGCCTAACCCTGCCACAGGTAAAGCAGGGGAATCATGGCAACCAAAATCCTCCTTGTGTAAAAGGTTTAATACATGCTTAAGAGATCCCAGATAGAGAGCCATGGGTGACTGGTGCCTCCTGAGTCAGGGGGGTATTTGTCCCCCCAGCAGCCTATCAGCAACGGGGAGGGGGTGTCCCCCCTGCGGCCAATCCCACCGACTTGCAAGTGGCAGAAGCGCACTGCTGGCACTTCCAGATGAGCACAGTCGGCTGTGGGGGAACCATGGGGATTGCTTCTCTTGGCACCGTACTCCCCGGCTGGCGCTCTCAGGGTGGGCACCAGCGCTCTCGGCTGCTCCCCTGCCTGAGAGAGCTGGCTATCAGGGGGTGCACCAGTGCTGTCAGGGGGTGCACCCCCTATGTGTCACCCCTGTAGAGAGCCATGCCCCCTTCTGCAGAGAAAGGCAAAATCCCCCACACAGTCTATACCAATCTGACCATGGGGTAAAATTCCTTCCACTCACCGCAAATATGGTGATCAGTCTGACCCTGAGCAGAGGGGCAAGACCCTCTACCCACGAATTTCCAGCTTTAAGTCACAGGAGGAGCACTGGCACACCCCAGTCAAAATCCCCAGCCTCGGCTTCAGCTAACATCCAGTGCCTCTCAGGAAGGCTTTAACACACAAGCAAAAAAACCCTCTGACATGTAGCAGAAAGCTTGGGGTGGGAGGGGGAATTCCCTCCCAGCCCAGTGTGGCAACCAGCAAAACTCAGAAGCATAGGAAATACCCATAGTAGAACATGGGCATAGCTACACATACATCATCCCTGACCAGTGGCTGTCCAACCTCTTCTTGAATACTGTCAGTGTTGGAGAGTCCACAGCTTTCCTAGGCAGTCTGTTTCACTGCCTCACTGTTTTAACAGCGAATAATTTTTTCATGATATCCAATCTAACTCTTCTTTGCTGCAACATTAAGCCATTCGTCCAGGTTAATAGTAAAGAGACAGATTTTGTTCTCACTTATGTGGTTTCAGCGTAGGTATTCTGAGTTTGTACTGGTGGGGCTGAGAGTGTACTTTGGCCTCAGGTATTTTCTGTAGTTCATGAATGTGCTTGGGGACCTGGTTGCCACTGGTTTATGTCAGAGCTGGGAAGTCCTGTTTTGATGGGGCTGAGTGCATTGTACTGGTAGGCTAAAGAGACCTAGAAATATCCTTGAAGACCATGGCAATGTCAGGATGCAAGAGGACAGTATAGAACCACTTTGTTCTGTCAGTATTGTGCTGTGCGGGCTATGGCACTGCAGAGCCACATATTTCTCTCACAAGAAGCCTTTGAAGGATATAAACCAGAGATGGGCTCATGACCACCAACTCTAAACTGCCGTACCTGAACTCTGTGTACCTGCAAGGGGGTCAAAATCTAAATCTGGCACCCAGCCTCGAAAATGGTTGGTGTAGACCAAATATATGGAGAGATTAAAGTGGGACTTGTGATTTGGCATGCCATGGTTATAGAGCAGCCATGAGCAGCCAGGCCAAGCATGACCGCTCTTTGCCACCAGTTGAACACAGTCTACTTGCCACTTACAATCCTGAGAAACGTCATAGAAGCCTTAGAACAACATGATGCATGGGCGCATCCAGGAGTTTTAAAAAAGGGGGTGTTGAAGCAGTGACCCTCGGGGGTGGTGGCATTCTCCCACTCGGCTTTTTCCCCTCACTGTGGTAGGCAGACTACACCACAGAAACAGTAGCAGGGGACTTTTTTTTAAGTCTCCAAAGCCTATTAGCATCCCCTTCTTCCTGGTTTCAGCACCCTTCCCCTTCCTGCTCAGCAGCACCTCCCTTCCCATTACCCTCTCACCCTCTCTACTTAAGCCCAATGCTAATGTTCCTTCTGTACAGAGGGCAGAGATGGGGTGGAGTGATGGCTCTGGGATTCATCATCAGCCTTGAGATGGCAAGTGAAACCCTGAGAGCAAAAAGGATCCTATTTGTTGATCTTAAAACCTATTCAAATAGTCTGGCTTGCTGTTTGTCAGACACTGGGTAAGCATTCATTTTAGTAAAAGTTCTCACAACTTCATCTTAGTAAAGGTTCTTACAAGTGGTGTGTTTTCCCTTGCCTAACAAAGGGACTTCTGAATAGAAACCCAGTGCAACAACAAAAAACCCGTTTTGTAGTCAGTCACCAGCACCTCTGATCTTTGCAGCAAAGGGACTTCTCTGGTGATGCAGATAAAGGGTGAGCAGCCTCCTCTGTCTTCATGCACAAACAGCAATCACCATTGCAACCCCAGAGCAAGGCAGAAAGTAGTGGAAGGCTTTGGAAAAGTGGGGCTGCTGGGCGGGGAGACTGGAATTCCAGTCTTTCACAGCTATGGGCAGGGATGCTAAAATCTTGCCCAGTCCTCGTGGCAGACTGTGTTCTCCAGCAAGGCTTGCAAAAAGGTGCTCAAGTGGGAAAATTTACATTCCTGTCATTTGCAACCATGCCCCACTCCCTGTCTCCTGTACCCCTCCAATTGTGTTGCTTTTTAACACGTGTGGGGATTGAGCAAGTACTGGAGTCTCAGTTCCACCGGAAATTCTGCAATTTGGAAATGTGGTTTTGTTCTGAATCAGAAAATTAGGGTTGGAAAGTACCTCAGGAGGTGATCTAGTTCAACCGCCTGCTCAAAGCAGGACAATCCCCAACTAGATCATCCCAGCCAAGGCTTTGTTGAGTCAGGCCTTAAAAATCTCCAAGGATGGAGATTCTACCACCTCCCTAGGTACCCTGTTCCAGTGCTTCACCATCTTCCTAGTGAGAGTTTTTCCTAATATCCAACCCTAAACCTCCCTTGCTGCAACTTGAGACCATTGCTCCTTGTTCTGTCATCTGTCACCACTGAAAATAGTCTAGCTCCATCCTCTTTGGAACTACCCTTCTGGTAGTTAAAGGCTGCTGTCAAATTCCCCCTCAGTCTTTTCTTCTCCAAATTAAATAAAACCCAGTTCCTCAGCCTCTCCTCATAAGTCATATGTGCCAGCCCCTGAACCATTTTTCTTGTGCTCCACTGGACTCTTTCCAACTTGTCCACATCCTTTCTGTAGTGGAAGTCCCACAGCTAGACACAGTATTCCAGATGTGGCCTCACCCGTGCAGAATAGAGGGGAATAATTACTTCCCTCGATCTGCTGGCAATGCTTCTACAAATGCAGCCCAGTATGCTGTTAGCCTTCTTGGCAACACGGGCACGCTCCTGACTCATATGCATCTTATTGTCCACTCCTAACTTGCAGGTCCTTTTCTGCAGAGCTACTGCTTAGCCAGTCAGTCCCCAGGCTGTAGCGAATCTGAGATTGGATCCAGGGCCCTGACAAAGTTAGGATCTGACAGCCCAGGGGCTGGGGGACCCATCCCTTGTGTGGGGGACCAGAAAGTAGCACTAGTAAGCCTGAGAATTTGGAGTGCCAAAAGACTTCTGGCGGTGTCACCTTTGATTTATTTTGAGGAGCCCTGTGGATGGATCATATCCAGGCTCCTGTGTAATCCTAATCCACCCATGAAAGAGATGATTAATAGCATTTTCAAGGTGGTGTTTGCTGCAAAGCTGATGCAAGGTTATATAGGGTAACCAGAAGCACAGCAACCAGTGACCTAGAATGACTGCACTGGAGAATGGGCATTAATCCCATTTTTGGTAGGTTAGTAATGATATCAGATTAGTTTCCAAATAGGCTTTTACATCTCACTGACATCTGAAACAACAAAACCCTAGGACAACCTGTCAGCATGCTGGAATGATAGGAGATCCTGAATGGGTACCTACTAATAGATATTGCATATGGTGCAGTGACACTAGTTTGGGATAGCAATATGGCATGAAGGGAATTGTTTTCTGTCCCTTTAATATGAACACACTGTTCCTTCCAAATGACAACAGGGCAATGGGAACGGAGGCTATACAAGAGCAGCCAGGTTCCGTGTTACTGTTTGTTGCTACTCTGGAGGTAGATTCAGCTTTATCATAGCTATTAGAAATGAAGGCAAGGTAGATTTACACCTGATTTAGTTAGTTTGTAAGGTGCCTGCCTTCTGCCTGACTTCAGACTAACACAGCTAACTACCTGTCTCTATCAGAAATTAATCCAAATTTAGCCACTTGTATCATGTTCCAGATGAAAACATGCCTACATTCAGGTTGGTTCCTGGAGCTTGGGTCGCTTTATGATGCAAATAGGGGGAAGCTGTCAAGCTCATGGAAGGACTTTCCCAAGTCTTAGGGACTCGTGGCTCAGTACATTACCATATTTTCTTGCATACCCCCTGCCCCACAAAATAAGACATACTTTGTTGTGGGAAGGCTGAATGACAAAAAAAAAAATCTTTCCAGTCATGCCTGAAAGTTGACTCCAGGGGATCCTGACCTTAGTGGTTGTATCTGTGGGAGGGTTAATGCTGTAGCTCTGATCCTGAAGTATGAATGCCAAACCCTCCTCGCTTGAGGCTGGCAGAGAGTGAAACACCGCAGCCATCTTACAGCAGTGTTTCCCTGCTTCTATTACAGCATAGAAAAGTCAAATTTCCCGCTTAAGACATGAACCTCAATTTGGAAGGCAGGCTTCTACGAAAGAGGTGCATGTGGTATTTTGGTAATTGTATTAGTTTGGCTCCTAACAGAGAGGGAGCCACAAAAGTCATATCTGGACTGGAACTTTACCAAAGTTTGGACGTGTTCCAGTTAGGTTCATCTCCAATTTCCATGGAATAAGGCTCCACATCAGTTGCAGGAGGAAGGTAGGGCAGGATGGCACCTTGGAGACTGACTGGTACAAAGAGGCAGGAGCTTTTGTAGGCAACAGTCTGCAACATCAGATGCTAGGAATGGACAGGACACGGGGAAAAAAAAACAATTGTGCAGTCCTGGGCAGGAATTATCCATAAGGGGAGAGGGATGTTTCTACCTATAACTGAGTTGTGTCACACAGAAGCAGCCATGCTCTGGACTGCAGAACATTTTGTTTCAGGGATGGGCCACAACAGGCTCAGAAAACTGCAAGAGCTGAATCTATTTGTGGGCCACAACAGGCTCAGAAAACTGCAAGAGGTGCATCTATTTTCAGATTCAAAAAACATATACTTCTGTTTAAAAAAAAAAAAAAAGAAGCATTTCATTTTCTTGGACCTCTGCACATCCTGGTTTCAACCACAAGAAAAAAAAAACAAGTGTCATGGCACAGGTGTCCACGCAGTCTCTCCATCCCACACAGAAATACCAGAAAACTTCTGAGAAATTCTAGTGTGATTCCCAAATGCATTCAAGAACACAGCTTGGGGGCCTCAGCTTATTCCCACAGACTACAGCAAAGTCGCCCTTATGATATGCGAACCAGTGAGGAATGGATGAGGTGGATAACCATCTCGATACTTATTATTTTATCTCATTTGATGGTAGTCTTTGTGAATCCCAGTGGAAGTTAAGAACCCACCATACAAACAGGACAAAAAGGCAGTACCTGCCCTAGAGTTCTTGCAAATAAGTCATCTTAGCCAAAAGCAAACTCATTGCAAACCTTTTCGGGTTTACCCCTCATGGCAGCAAATTACCATAAGACTGGTGTGGTGGTGGGGAGGAGAACACCCATCCAGGACTGTCGTGCTTTACACTTGAAAAATCTGCTTACAGTTTAAATAAGGGTAAGAATTCCCTTCTTCCAACCTTGCCAACATGCCTTCCAGTTCATATGGAAAGCTTTTGGGAGCTGTGTTATGTGTTTCTACTATACCTAGCATAATGACATGTTAATTTGTGACAGGTCCCTTAGTCACAATGGCAACAATAATAAATAATAAACCCTGTCCTGAGGCACTCAGGGTTAAAAGTCCTTTTGGCTTGCCTAGATGTTATTTTTGCATTGTCTTTTACACTCCTCTCCCATGCAACCTCCTTACCTCATGTTCTCTCCTCATCTCAGGAGCTGGTGCAGATTTTGTCATGCTTGGGGGGATGTTTGCAGGCCATGATCAATGTGCTGGAGAGATCATGGAAAAAAATGGAAGGAAGGTGAAGCTGTTCTATGGGATGAGCTCTGGTACAGCTATGAAGAAGCATTCAGGAGGAGTTGCTGAATACAGGTATGAGTTACACTCAGTTTGCTATGAATCCAAACTACCAAATTCATATCTGGAGTTGAACTTTTCAAATTGCCTCCCCATTACCACCTGGGCCATCTTCCAGACACGTTACTACACATGGACTCGACTTCCAGAGCTATGTGTTTCTACACTCTCAGGTTCTGTATAGCATGAATGGTTGCTGTTCCCAGCTCTGAATCTCTGAGGCACACCCTATGTCTGTCACCCATACTGGATACAGAACCATATAGGATAGCTGAACCCTTGCCAGAACCAGTCCTACAGTCCCTCTGAGCCTCCAGTTACTTTGCTGCATTTCCCCAGCATCCTACTGCCTGTGGAGGTCTACTGTTCAGATGAACAACATGTCAGGAAGACAAAGACTACAGGCTTAGCAAAGGAACTTTTTAACCGCAGCTGTTACTCTTGAAAGCATTGGAGAGTCACAAATGTTTGTAAAACAACATCTTGAACAGACCTTTCTAGATCCACTCTCACCCCTTCTGTAAATCCTGGGGTTAGTAAGTATCCTAAGACTAGACAGCCCTATTTTCCTCATGCTGGTCATCTTTTATGTCACAGTGCTCTCGGGTCTGTGGCTTCAAGAATCAACCCTCCCTTAAAATAATCTTTGTCTCTTGTTCATGTTCATCAGTTGAGGGGATTTCAGGGGCTCCAGTGCGAGCCCCATCTCATTTACTCTTATGTAAAGGGTCATTCTAAGTCAATAGCTATGCCCATTTTTCCAGTAGGGAAAACTTACTCAATATTGATGTTCTTTGATGGCACTGTCAGCTTCTTAGACATGGGGTACGTCTACTCTACAGACTACAGTATCGGGTAGAGATACAAAAGCTAGCTTTAAACAAGATGGCTCAGATAACAAGCAACTTGGCTGCAGCAACACAAAATGGATAATCTGATCTACAGAGAAGGTTGCAGTTAGACATGAAAGTTGTGTGCCCAACTCTCAGTTACTATACAAAGAAAAACAAAATGTGACTTAGGAAACAAAATGGTCTTCACAGTTTAACACAGACATACCCAGTCTGTCACAGCCCCTAACACTGCAACAAGCCAAGCTACAACCCATGATGCCAGCCAGCTTCTCAGACTTTGGTCCTGACCTGAATTTGGCTCCATCTCCACTGCAAACACTTGCTATTGCCCTTATTTAAAGATTAGAAGGGCGCCATAAAAACATACATAGCATTTATAAAACAAAGCTGAGACAGGGTCCCTGCCCCTAATAGTTTGCATAAACTAGCTTTGGTCTAAGTTACCCAAGTTCTTCAGCAGGGGTTGTTGGGTTGCAACAACATGCCTGTAATGATGACTGAAACACATTTGAGGCTAGTAGAAGATAGTTCTGGGGGCAAACCCAGGTAGAGACTTTTGTCCCCTGATTTGACCGAACTGCAGCCGCTGTACTTTTGCATGGAACCACTTTGCAAGAAAGGCACCTTTAGGCTGGAGGAATTAGGGGTGCAGAAGAGATCTAAAGAAAAATGTGCAGCAGTGTTTGGCAGGTTTCCAACTAAGTAGTCTGTCCCGAGGGTTGGATTCTGCCCAAGAAGATAGTAATTGCTTTACAAATAAGAACATGGAAAGCATGCTATAGACAAAGGAAAAAAGTTGTATAACTGCAGGTAATCTAGCTAGGAGCCCCTCCAGCTGGTATGATGGGGAGACCAAGGTGCCTGCAAGAGATTAGGACTTTGCTTGATACCCTGAAGATAAGGCAGTGTTTAGAGGAGCCCTTGAGACAAATTACAGCTCTACGCCCCCCTGCTCCTCAGCGAGGGTAGAGTGCTTTGTCTGCACAGCATATAGCATACTTTCTTCTTGTGCCTGCCCTCCTGCTACAGGGATCCAGGAGCCTTCTCCCTCACATCCTCTAAGGCTAGTCTCAGAAGCAAGCCTCTAATCAACACACTGACTGGTATCAGGGAAGACTCAAATCCCTCTGTTTCTCCTGTACAGCCACATTAGAGCCAGGCATGGGGATCATTTCAATGAGCAGAGTTTATTTTCAGCCAACCACTGCACAACCACGTGTTGGACAAGCTGGACCGTTGCACCCAGCAGGCATCCTGCATGCCTGCTTGAGTTGTCAGTCACTCTATCAGGGCTCATCAGCCAGTCCCAAGAGCCTACTTGTTTGTTTCTTTCCATGATGCTGCTTGGCATCGAGGCATCTGGAACTAACTGTCAGAGTGAAGGAGACTAGCAATTAGCTCATTGCTTAAAAATGGCAGCTGCCTGTTACTCAGAGGCTCTGGCTGCCTTTCATCTGACTGGCTGTCACCAACTGGACTTCTACCCCTGTGTTTTAAGTCAGTGACTGGAGCGCGTAGGCAGCAAGGCAGATCTAATACATGACACCATCGAGCATCACCAGGCTTTAATGAACCACAGGACAGGTGACAGCCTCAGTGAGCCCAGTATATTGGAGTAACTTCTGTAGCAGGCGGTGTTGAGCTCATGAAAGTTGGGGGAAAGGGCCCAAAAGCAAAGCCAGCCACAGCACCAGTGCTGCAGTGGTAACGGGATCAAATTGTGCTCTGGAGTAGGAGGCTTAAAAACAGGGTGGCATCTGACTGCAAGCAACTGAAGAAGATGCCATTGTACATTAGACAGTGCCCCAGTGCAGGGATAAAGAGTGCTGAAGAGAGGAGCCATATATAGCTATGTAAGAATTCCTCCCCCTTCCCTGCAGCTGTCAACTGATTTTCCAGAAGTGCAAGAGTGCAAGGTATCCATAGGAGTTGTCCAAGCTGTTGGGAGGCACCTCTGAAAAAATCAGGCTGCTTACTGAACATGCCTGTGAATTCAACAGGCTAACTTTATGCCCTAAAAATTGAATATTTTGGCTTAAGAACCTGATCCTGTAGTCAGTTTGAAATTAGATTTGAAAACAGGAGAGACAGGTAAGGCAGGGGGATTTTAGCATGAAATAAGGTCAGGAGAGTGTTTTGTTATGTACTGGCCAGGTTCACCCCATGTCATAGCTATAAAATCTGTGTCTCCAGTTTCATTATTTATAATATATAACCCTCCTATATCTATGTGTATATAACAGCTATATGCGGTATCTGTATATCAGCCATTTTTAGGTTTTATTTCTGTAATTTTAAATCAGGAATAAGGGGCAAGGATACACATTTCATACACTAACAAACACTGTAAAATCCAAACAAAAAAAGCATTGTGTTATTTTAGTAGTGTCAAAAATAGCATTGTATGGAAGAGATAAACATGTCAGGAAATACTCATGGAAACTGTTCCAGTTCTTGTACAGGAGAAAAGCTGTAAGGAGAGGGTGAGGGAGATCACAGTCATCTTTGTTGAGAGCTGTGCCCTTACAGCTGGTTTGATTTTGCTAGCTGTATGGCATTTTCAAGAGTGATGGGTTGCTTAGTAATTCATAGGCGTTACTGTAAAGCACCTTGTAGCTTCTCTGAACTTTATAGGGACAGTGGGATGGAGCCCAGGACTAGATTCACAAGAGGACTTAACATGTCTTACTGCCCTTTTTTATGTTTACGCCCAGTCTTTAGATTCCTAAAACATGGCTGCTTAATCCTAGAACTGCCTAAGGTTTCCACTCATAAAATCCCCTAGATGACATATCTGCTTTTGGTCATGCCCAGAACCAACTGCAGGGCAGTTTGGTACCTTGTTCATGGTTCAGCCCTGTTGCAATCTGGAATCCAGGTTTTCTTCTCCCCTCTCTGACCCTGCAAGGTCCGAAGTGGTAGGCATTCTCAAAGCACTCTCGCCTGATTGAGCCCTGTGGTGCTAGCTCCTTTACCATAGATTTCCTAGACGTTAGGGCTGGAAGGGACCTTGAAGATCATCAAGTCCAGCCCCTTGTCCCAGGGGCAGGAAGTCAGCTGGGGTCAAAGGATCCCAGCAAGATAAGCATCCTGTACACCAGTAGCCTAGTGGGTAGTAGAAGACCCAGGTTCAGGTTCCTCCTTGGCCTAAGGAGATTTGAACCCACCTCTCCCTCTTATTGGTCAAAGGGGAGGGCACCATCTCCTCCCAATGTGTTTTGTGAGACAGGCTGTCTTGGGCACCTGACTCCTGGGAAGACTTACAGCTGTAACTCTTGAGAGAGAAGAGTTGTCCACAGTTGGGTGACTACCTTCTTTGAGGGATGGGGCTTAAATCTCATCTCTCTCCTCACCATTTCCTGCTGGCAAGCTGAGGTGGCATCCCATTCAGTATGCTAGCCTTTGTGGATCTCATTCTCAAGCACCTGTCTTTCCCCACGTGCTGTATAGGGATCCTGGGCACTTCATGTCACCTAGTGACATCTACAGGCCTAGATGAAGTACCTTTTGCAATGCTCTGCATATGCTTTTTGGGGGATTACGTGCTCAGAGCCTCCTGTACCAGAATCCTAGCATTTGAGCTGAAGGAAAATCCCTGCTGGCAGTATAGGGCCCATGACTCACAATGGAATATTAGTTCTACCCAGTACAGAGCAGCGGTAAGTAAATACACTAGCCAGGTCATTACACTGTATATTTAAGAGCTGCAAACACTTTTAAGTATATAGTATTACTCATCTGCTGCAGGGAGATTAATTACAATTCCTCAGTGAGATGGTGGCACATTAACAGCCCCCTTTACTGCCACGCCAAGGTTTTGACCTCCCATTTAAAGCAGCAAAAAGAATTTAGCCAGTCTCTCATTGAAGCCCTGCCACACCAACTATTGCTGCTATTATTAATGGTTTACAAAGGCTTTGCTAACCAAGCCTCTGAAGCAGACATGTTCTGCCTTGCATTATCCTGCTAGGCAGCCTGTCTGAGTGGGATTTAAATAATGCCAGATTTAACACTGTGACAAATTCATGATCCTTGACCTCAGCTTGTAGTGTGAAGGGGAGGGGGTAGAAACCCACCCAAACCCCTACCAGATGTTAAGGTACCATATAAAAGACACTGAATCCTGCAGTCCCTGGCTGGGGTTTAACGTGCTGTACAACAAACTGCAACTCACCCATTTTTTTAGATTTTGGATATAACCAGAGCTTCCTAACTACTGGAAAAGACTAGGTCCCATTTCCAGCAGTCACAGGCCAACCCGTGTTCTTCCATCCCTCTTTTCCAGTTGTTGATTTATGCGGCAGAGTGATCTGATTCCTGGAAGCACAATGGTCAAATGACATTCTGGATATTTCCTAATATGAGGAACTGTAATGGGAGGGCTAGAGATGCAGGAGAAAGAAGAGCATTGAAAATCGCTAGAGAAGTTTCTCCTATGGCATAACCCTACTATGAACTACTGCTGTCTAGGAGGTGCACTGATCACAGTGTCCCTGTCACTGTGTATAAAGTGCACCTCCTACTTGCCTTGATGAATGGATCTGACTCAAGCATATTGGCTTCAACAGAACTGCTTTGTGGTGGGATTACTCACCTGGGAAAGCCCTACTAAGGGAAAAGCAGTGCATGGTCAAGTTGGTAGAGGTTCTCAATCTGTATCTGTTGTATAATGATCTACATGCACCTCTTGTGTTGTATAAGTAAGCAGTAAAGGCCCAAGTTTTCAGCTGGTGTAAAGGACTGCAGTGGAGCTATGCTTATTTAGGCACACAGATATATTTTTAAGCATCTTCTGTTGTCAGCCTAGGACCCACTGTCCTTGGGTGACATGCCTGTTTGTATGTGGGGAAGCTTTGCTTGCATCAGGATAGGAAGAACAGGTTGCTAATGGGCTCAGGCACGATTTGGCTGGTTGCAATAATTATTTCCTGGGTCAGTTTCGGAACAGTGCATTTCATAGAATCAGCATAGTATCATAGAGAACTAGGGCTGGAAGGGACCTCCAGTCCAACCCCTGCCTGAGGCAGGATCATCCCTATCCAAATCATCCTATTCAGATCAGTAATTTAAGCCAGGGGTAGGCAACGTTTTTTGGCTGGAGTGCCGAAAAAACCACAATGTCTACCTTGGAAGGTACCAGAGTGCCGACATGCTGGAGCCCAGAGCAGCTGTTTGCAGCCTCCCGGTTGCAGCCGGTCCACGGAGCCTGGTCTGCTGGCAGGAGGGCTTGCAGCCTCCCAGCTGCCTGCTGGAAGCAGCCTGGGCTCTGTGGCTGGCAGCAGCTGCTTAGAGCCCGGTTGATAGTGGTGTGCTGAGCAAAATGGCCTTGCGTGTCATGCTCGGCATGGGTGCTGGGGGTTGCTGACCCCTGATCTAAGCTGTTTTTAAAACTCCCCTCACCCCTGACACAACACCAGACGTTACGCTGTAACCCACCACAGGTAAAGTAAGGGAACTGCCATTTGAGTACCTTAAAAAAAAACAATATGGGGACAGGCAGCATAAAAGTTCTTTTAACTTGAAAAAATACCTTCTCCATCACTTCCGGTGTGGAAAGCAGTAATGTGTCTCTGTTTCCAGGGCTTCGGAAGGCAAGACCGTGGAAGTGCCTTACAGAGGGGATGTGGAAAACACCATCCTGGACATCCTGGGCGGGCTGCGCTCCACTTGCACGTATGTGGGAGCTGCCAAGCTCAAAGAGCTGTCCCGAAGGACAACATTTATCCGAGTCACCCAGCAGCATAACCAGGTGTTTTTGTAGCCTTGGACTGGGGGGACTGTGCAGTAGTCCTGTCACCTCTCCTTTCTCTCTCCTACCAGGTTTTTTATTACAGCTTTGCAGTGGCAAATTCCTCAGGGCTGTGGAATTGGCTGGAGGGGAGGTGGGGCGGGGTAATTGCTGCTATAAGTGGAATTGAAGAGGAGAAGGGTGTGCCTTCAGACACAGCACCATATAGATTTTTTGGTTCAAGATGCAATAGCCCCATCTTTTAAAGCCATGTCTATTGTTTTGTTTTTTGTTTTGTTTTGTTTTACTTTAGGTTCTCCCCGCCCCTTCCCCTTTCATTTTTCTCTGAAAATAGCTACCAAAGCCTCCATTTGCAATGGATGAGCCTGTACAGACTAGGTTTGTATTGGTCATACTGGCCACTACAACCAGTGGTACTTGTTTTAAGAACATCCTCCCAACTTTTAATGTTGACTGGCCAACTTGGCACTGCCACAGGAGAGAGAAACTGCAGACTGAGAAGGCAGAGGGGTGCAGAGGGTCAGTTTGCATAACCAGAAATTAAAGCCGTGCTTCTTGACCATTGAAGTTTGCTGCTGGGGTCCCGGCCCTTGGGGAACAAATTGGAGTGACGGCTCTGTGGACCAGGGTCGCCACTGCATTTTCACTGTGATGTTAAAGACACTGAATCTATAGCACTGTTGGTTCACATGCCTTTCAGGGGCTTTTTTCTTTAAATCAACATCTTTAATGGACTTGCCTCTTCAGATGCTGGCATGTTCTTGCTTTACCCTTACCTCCAAGGGAAGCATTTAAAAATATATATAATATAAGTGTGCCTTTTTTGTTTGATGCATGCAGTCATTACATTCTTTGGGCCTGTCTCTGCAAACAAGTTATTTTAAGGTATAGAAACCTTCCCAGTAAGTGAGCCCAGGGAGCTGGCTTCTTCACAGCCTCATATGGCCTCATCACTTTGTGCAGTGATTTAAACCTACACAAATGGACTGGGACTTTGTGCCCACTTATCTACCCGTTGTGCAAGGCTTCTGTGGGTATGTCTACACCACGTTGCTGATGCTCCCAGGAAGAGTTGTCCTTCCCACCTGTGGCAGCTTGTAGCATCAAACCCAGAAACATGCCAGGGAAGTAGCTCTTGGACATCCCCCTGCCAAGAGCTGCCCTCATGACCTGTTTCCTTGAGAGCAGCTATCCCCACCTCATTTCCAAGCTTGATATGCATGTGCAGGTGGGAGTAGCAGGCAGGCTGTGCTCAAGGGTGGCCTTCTCTGAGCACTGCAGAGACACGGTGTAGAAGTGTCCCCTGTATCATGCTGGAGTGGCTGACTTCACTTCTTTGTTACACTTCTGCCACTCTTTGAAAGACATTGGCCTAATTAAGAGCAAAAATTGGCCCCCAGCAGAATTACAAAAGACTTAATCGCAAGAAGCCAGTAGTCTGATCCTGAGCAAAAGCAGGTGCTATGAAGGCAATAATGAATATTTTAGACTCTGGATAACACTCTAATAAACTGTAATGGTATGCTAATTAATTGATAAATCTCAATGAAAGTTCTTTTGAAGTACACATTGCCTCCACACAAATACCACAGTAGTTCATTATGATAAATGTTACTTAGAGTGGATACCAATGAATTAATAATAACCAGCCACTTATTTTAAAGTCTCACTGAGATAACAATACAGATGGAAACTGAAGTAACTTCAGAGCCTTTCTCCCCATCCTGTAAGTACCTGTGGAAAGATAGAGGCCTCCTTTGAAAAGCAAAACTGTGGAAGAGGAGCATAGAGGAAAACAAATGGAATTTATCTGGCAATTCTTTATTGTTTCAAAGAAAAAAAGGAGTCTGTACAAGTGAGCATGCTAAGGAACACATCTCATCCACAAGCTGGACCCTGATGATTGTAATCAGGTTTTGCATAGTAGAAAAAGCATGAAAGATCTTTCCAAGAGACTGAAGGCAGGTGCTTTACAAAAATATTTTAAAGTTTGTGGGCCTGTTTTTAATTTCATTGCTCTGCTCCAGGCTGGTAAAGGGGCCTTAACATGAGGATGTTTTTCACTGACTTGAAGGTCCATTCACACTGCCAGAATGGCATTAAGGCACTTAAGTGTGAATGATACTCAGGTCCTATAAATAAAATACCCAATATTAGTTCCCTCTGACATTTCCTTTTCTATCAGAGGTGGAGGAACCATAGAAAGGCAGATGAATGGCTTCATTACTATAAATAAAACTGCTGTGGGCCAAATGCAGTTCTCATTTGTGCGGATGTAAACCCCGGTGTAATCCTACTGAAATAAGTGACATCACTCGGAATTGACATGGGTATAACTAAAGGCAGAACACGTTCCCCCCTTCATGCCTCATGTAAAGGTATTTGCATAAAGGTAAAGCAAAACCACTATGAGGCATAAGGATGTGTTGCATGTATATCCATATTTCCATCCTACTGCCTTCACACTTGAGAAGTGCAGCAGTTCACTAGACTCTCACTAGTTGCTGTTGCTTCTGTACTTTTTCTGGCTGCCTTCATCAATGAAATGTAAAAGAACTAAACAGTTTGTAATTTTTTTTCAGCAATCACTCATTTAAAAAATAGCTGCTTACTGTACCTTTTAGAACAGCTTTCCCAAAGCCATTCTGCACTGCCTGTGCCCTGGCTCTTCTCCAAACAGGTTTCAAGTGGGAGATATGTTCCACTCACTTCAGCCTCATGTTTGCAAAGGTGTAAACCAGTAGTTCTCAACCTTTTTTTTCCCCAACCAGCAGCTGGGAGTGGAGTGCGGCAGTGGCGGTGGCCTGGGGGTGGGGGAGCTCCCAGCACACGGCGTGACTTGTCTTTTGTGTGCGGCACCGCTGGCATTGCCCCCGCAACCCTCATTTGGGTCGCGACCTGGGGTTGGGAACTGCTGGTAAAAACAAAGGCTAGGGGAGAATGAAGTCCCATATTTTTTTAGAAGCCAGTTGTATCCTACAGGTTGTAGATTGCCATGGAATTACTAGGAGTCAATGATATCACCTTGAATTTTTTTCATGGCATACTTTACTGTCTTTTGGATGTGTGCTGGTTTCCATGACAAGAGACATAAGCAACAGATGGCAGGCAGCCTCAAAGAGGTTAACTGGCTACGTGTCATCCTGTGGTATTATACCAGTTGCCTGTCCAGTGGAAACCTTCAGTCGATCAACTGCCTTCATTTTGGGTGCCTCTCTTATGAATATATGTGCACGCACACATACACATTTCCAAGTGGAACAAAGAAATCAGCATGAGCCTCACTGCAGGACCACTTCTGTGAAGAGATAGGTCCCTTCAACCTCCCTAGCACCCAGCCCCCCCCCAAGTTAGAAGCCAGTCCTCATCGACTTAAGTGCTACTTCGCCCCGCAGGATTAGACCACCCAAAAAAAGGCTCTATTAGAAATGCTAACAAACTCATGTACCATTCATAGAGCTACCTCACCTCAACACCTCTCCATTTCCTAGCGTCCTTCTGCAGGGAATGTCTTTGCGATGCCTTATTGCTGTGCTGCTATGCATGAATGGCTATCATTCAGCTTCCAAAAAACGAATACCCGGCACTTTGCGGGTGTCCTAAGCAGTAGCTGTCCCTTGAATTGGGCCAAAGTCCCACTTGCTTTCCTCACCCTTGCAACTCCACCAAGTTTAAAGCACCAACATGATGTCACAATCTGGCTCATGGACTCATCAAGGTGTAGTTAACATGGCACATTCCTATAAAAAGAAAGGTGGATTTCAAGTAATTAATATATTTGTGTTAGTAGCTTTAGTCAGCATAGAATACATTTAAAGCTGAAGCATAAGCACCTCTACTTCTTCCACAGCAGGTGTGACAGTAAGATAGGCCAGGAAGTAGTCTGTAGGCTGCAAGGCCTACCTCAGCCCCTAGGGGTTGCATGCAGCCAATTCGAAGCGTATGGTCCATCAGCATACTGAGCTACCCAGTGTTTGCTATGACCGGGCCCACAGTATCCCTAGGGTTATGCCAGTAGGCACGTCATGTTTGACATGGTTCTCGCACTAAGTGCTGGATTTAACCCACTTTCTTGTTGGATTATAAGCAGGGACAGTTCTAGTTTGGGACAAGTTTTGGTGTAAGGAATATGCCTGCTCAGTCATTTCCTCAGTTCTGTCAGGGATGGGACAAGTAAGAGCATTCTCTGTCCTCCCCAAGATACATCCTGAAACCGCCACTGGATATGTTTTTATCCATGGGCACTTGCTTACGATCTCAGAACACCTGCTTAGCCTAATTCCCTTGCTTTCCCAACAATTTTGCCTTGGTCTAGCCCCACGGACTTCTGTAGTCACTCCTGTCTGTTGCCAGTGTAAGTGCTCAATCAGCCCCTCCCCTTTGCCTCTGACACCCTGGTAAACCAAATCCTGTCCTCTTGAAGCAAATAGGAATTTTGCAACTCACTTCAGTGTGCACAGGATTTGGCCTTTCTTGTGTAGAAGGGGAAAATAAGGCCTATGAGTAATCATTTGCTTGCACCTCTGCACTTCTATGGCCAGCCAGCTGTGAAAGGCGCTTGTTTGCCTTGTTTGGAAGTGATGTGTTTTGGGGTTTGTTTGTTTTTTGAGGTTGATCGGTTAAGTGTTTTGAATTTGTCGTGGTACTACCTGTCATGTGACTTGTGCCAGAAGTGTCCTAGTCAATACTGTCTGCTGTCAACACAGGTTAATTATGTCTCCTCTTAGACATCATTCTTTTTTGAATACATCCACACATTTAGGCCTGTCCTCTGGTTGTGACTCCACAGCGTCAACAATACACTGCTTACCTGGATAAAGCTGCCAAACGTAAATCATCCAGAAGCCAACATTCCTTTGTGAAATGTAATGTCTGTGATAATCTTAAAAGACCACACGCACTCAGTCAAGCAGCATGAATAGACTTTAAATGTTTTCATGCCCCCTGTATGGCCATCACTGAGATGATTGTGTCAGATACCATCTTTCTCCATTTGTAGCAAAGCCATGTACAGAATGCATTCTGTCTCAAAGAGCTTGCATGTTTAAAGTGATCATTTGTTGTATACTGGCTGTTCTGTTATGAAATAAACCATTGTTGTCCAGAAAGGGTTATGCGCTGTAAAGGGATTGTATAAACCTGTATGTATCATATATTATGGATAAAAGCAAACTCTATAAAAACTTATTGCTGGGGTTAAAACTTGAAGGGTGAAAAATTAAATGGATAAACTGCTGTTTCATAGGAAAACTCTCTCTCTTGCTTTCTTAACTCATAAAGACAAAGGCACAGGTTTGCAATTGGCACTGTTATTTTATTAGTACGAGTATACTGAAACAATAAACTTGTACTGGTATACAGACAATTTCTTTAAAACAATTTTGTTCAAATTTTGAATCAAACATTGTTTTATTATAATAATGAAATAATTTCTACCTAGAAAACCTGCAAGCACCATCAAAGAAAGGGACCATAAAATTCAATAAACAGACGCGAGTGTATCCTACAAATAGACACACCACCATTAGAAAATAGAATATGAATTCTTCCATTTTTTTAATATTTGTTTTAAAAAAGCTAGTGCAAGTACAATATTTTACACTGGAATTACAGAGAGTATGCACGCATATGGAAAAAAGTTCTCCTGTCACAATAAAAGCTCTTAACTATGTCTGTATGCACTTAAAACTTTCTCCTCTTTTCAATAAGGTGCAAAACATTCCCTCCCTAGCTCTTGTTTGTACTGGCCATGTCATCTCAATTTCTCACCAACACAAAGCTGCATTATCCCTTTTACTCAGCCTACACTAGGCACAACACTGGAAGTGTGATTTGCAGCACCCCTTGGTAGAAACACCGAACAATGAAAACCTTGAAGACTCTTAAATGGAGAATGGCTTAAGCCTACCTCTGAGAGGACTCTCCTTGAGGGCCTTTGCGAGCTTGCCAGTCCGAGGTGGCTGGCTGTCAAGACCTGTGACATAGCTAGTACAAAATTATTTTCAGTAGATCACGTGAACTGAAGAGGTTGGGAAATCCCCTTTATTTAAACACTGCAGAGAAAACAGTGTTCACAACGTTAATATATTATTTAAAAATAAAAAAGACAAAGCAAAAATACATACATTAGTGAGTTTCAGCATGAGCTGACTGTCTGTGAAAAGCTATACCTGTGCTCTAAGAGATTAGTAGCTTTGCTAGGTAGCCAGTCTAAAGGCCAAATAGAAGACATGAATTCAGCCACTTGCAGCCATTCTGGGCCCATTTTTGTCTTTCCTTACTTAAGTTCATTGCCTGCTGACTTTCAAGGGAGTTGCATGTGTAGATACATAAGCAAAATCACTGGGTCCTTTAGAGCAAATGCTTAAGGCCAGGCCTTCACACAGTGCACACTGGCATAGCTGCAACAGCTTCCAAACCAATGGACCCACACCCGCTTTATATCCATTGAAGATGTGGCCCTTAATGTTTTAGCTTGTCAACCACCAAGTAGTACAGCAATAACAGCTTCCAGGAGTCACTAAAGATGAGTGCGGACAACACTTCCAATGCACGCCTACTGCATGGTCAAGGGAAAGGGCGCAGGAGCTTTGACCACTCAAAATAGAAACGAATGAATGAACAAACAAAAACTAAACCAAAATAAACCCCGCAATCTTAGATGAAGCCTCCAATCAATTCTCCATGGAAGACTTGAGTCCTTTCAGATGATGACAAGAAAAAGCTACAGAAATCTGAGAGACTGTTATTGTGGAAATACTACCTCTTGGCTGAATTCACTTCATTTCCAGACAACTGGACAATTGGGGCCATTTCTCCGAGCATTGGGTCATTTTAGCATGGTGATTATTCCCACCCCCCCTTTCCCTCTCCCTCCACAGGAGTTTCAGATCTGAACCTTGGGTTACCTTGGATTGGCTGCACGGGGAGCGATACAAGGATTCGGAACCTCTACACTGTGTTTCCCCTGCTGTGTTTAGGCTTCCAGCTGTCCAAGTCATTCTTTGGACAAGGGAAGGCCCCTTTCCTCAGAAACTGCTCCTGGATTCTTTCCTTTTGGCTTGTTAATAATATTGATCTCTAAATCAAATGAGGCCATGGCTGGAACAACTAAAATTCATGTCTTTAACCTGCTCCATTGAAATGAGGTGCGTAGAGGTGTTACAAGAGGCCATGCCGCGTTAGATGGTACAGTTTATTTCTTGGTAGGCTAGGATCCCTTGTTATGAACACTTCTTGTTCAGGATTAGATTCTTTGGGTTCTTTTGGAACAGGAAGTGCTGCAAGTGTAGAGCATCATCCCAGAGGGAGCAAAGAAATGACAATGGCTTCAGAATCTAAATTAAGCAGGGTGCTCTAAAATATATTTTCAGCACAGGGACAACCAGTGTGAAACATTACCCCCTTCCCCAGAAGTGGGACCCATGTCACATGAACAGAAAATTAAGCACAGTTGTTCTTTAAGAGCCTTTTAAGTGATAATTCTTCCTGGCCAGAGCCAATACAAATCAGATCATCTAGACGTGACAGTTTCTATATACAAAAAACACGTAACTTTCAACCTTTCTCTTCTTTTGTATTTTTTTTAAATTATTTTTTTTTTTTTTTTTACAAACAAGGTATGAAACTCACTGTTTCAACAGAGCCATCTCTTTTTCAAACACTGAATGAATCATTCCAACATTCATTTTTCTTTTGTGCAATTTTTAAAACATTACCTGTACTCCTCAATGTGAGTGCTTCAAAAAAGTTTTTTTAAGCTTCTCAAATTAGGTTTACATCAAAAAAATATTCCCACAAGGTATAGTGCTACAAGAAAAGATCCTATCAGTAAGGTAACACATCTGAAGCGAGGTCGTCTATGTAAAAGAAATTGAACTCTGGAGTAGAGGTGTACAACTTGTTTGGAATTTCCCTATCAACAGAAAACGCAACACTGTCCTCAAAAAAATCAACTAGACATAATAATCATGTGCTTTTAAAACTTATTTACACGCATACATATTTATATACACATGCTCACACTTTTGGGGTGTGTTTGTGTGTGTGTTGACAATTTCCCTATTTTAAGACTTGGGGTAAAAAAAAAAATAGAGAAAGAAAACCACTGACCGCACTCTGCTAAATACCCACTTCCCATTACATTTCCCAGACTGCTGGGTAAGCCAGCAGGCTGGACTTCACTAATGTCTGATGCTGACTCTTATGATGAGGTGAGGGAAGGTGAGTGGAAATTACTTTAGAAGAGTGCAAGCCACATTTTGCCGTGTTTGAGTTCACCTGATAATATATATGACAAGAATCCAGTTCCACCCAGTAGATCTGGAGTTACTACTATAATCAGTAGGAACTTTCAGTTTATAGCTGTATAGCTAAGATCAGAATCTGGCACTAAATGATACAGACCTCATTTCTGCAAGTATCTTTTACGTATAGTTAACACTGTTAAGTTTCTGAGGGGCCATCAGTGCCTTCAGTGGACCTGCTCAGAAGCCTAGCTATGCCTGTGCATATGGCATTTGCAGAACTGGGGTCGCAGTGTGCATGGCATATTCTACTAGGAATCCAGATCTGAAAGAACACCACCTTTTAAAAACAACAAATGTGGTGTTTTTAAGCTATATTAGATTTGTTCTCCTTGAAACAGGTATTTCGCTTCTACTTTAGAAACTAAGCATTAGCAGGATTTCATTTTTTCCTTTTCCTTTTTAATATTGGCAACATGCTTTTGTTAAAAAAAAAAATATCCCTGTGCAAAGAATGAATTTCATGATAATCAGCAAGTTACGGTTCACATTGAATCTGGTGCTTTGTATTGCAATCTATGTGATACCTAAGAAGTTAATTCACAAGATGCAGGAAATCCAAACTTGTCCTTGAAATTGTACATCCCTACTCCAGAGCAGTAAAAGTGCTGCTTCTGGTCACATCAGTGTACCACACACACGCCAGCCCCATCCCTGAGTAAAAGGTGTGAAAGGTTTCTAAATGTTCCTTGACTTAGGAAAAGAAGAGTAGTGATGTCACTTCCAGGTGCTGAGAAAATGACACAATGATAGGTTTAACAGAGATGAGAGGGTTAAAAATGGAAATAAAAACCCCAAGACAAAACACACATTTTAAAAGAAAAAAACCCCAACAATGTACAAAATCATAAAACAGTTTAAACATTAATCCAATTTGGGATTCAACGAAAGGACTTGAGGTAAGTGACATCAAACTCCACATTCCCCTTGATGTGGCCCAGACAAACTGAAATGATGCCTAAGTTAAACACTATAAGGAACAGTCGTTTTATATATATAGATATAGATATATATATTTTTAGAAATCCCTATAAAGAGGTTCTTGTTTTTTTTTCTCTTTGCCCTGACTAATTTCTTGGTGATTGTATGCATTTTGTTGTAAACTAAACAGGTCTGGTACAAAAAATAAGAGACAAAAAATATAAAGAAAATGGTTGTCAGTTAATATTGCAAAGTGGATGCTGTACAGAGGCACATGGCTAATCCTCTTACACTGGATTCACCTCAGTAGGTCTGTGCCTGCAATTGTTAATTCACTGGGCGCGTCTACGTGAGATGCTAACTGTGCCGTAGCCGAATAACACTGAGCAGTAGCGTGCTGGGGATAACCTGTGCTAATACGCGACTGAGCAGTAGTATTAGGCTACTGCGCAATAAGTGTCGCTAAAAACCTGTGCATCGGCACTACTGCGCAATAACTTGAGTTATTGCATATTGATTTAGTTTTTGGTTAACCAAGTACTAAACTTAATGTGCAATAACTAAGGCGCGTTAATTAACATGTAGACGCACTCACTGCATGCCAGATGTTGTGAGATTGACTCATATGAGCAGTCAACAGGGCAACTTGCTGGAGTAAGGATTTACTCACGTCAGTAAGGCATCCTGGGGCTGGGTCTTAAACCGACTGTTTACTGCAACAGACAATACTCTCTCATGCCCCTAGGTTCACCAGCTCTACTGATTGAAACCACCTCTCCTTTATGGTACCCACTGATCAGGGGGGAGTTCAGCCCTGCACTGGGAGCCAGTATCTGGTTTCTGCATCAGCTAGCGACCTAAGTGCTGCATAGACTTTGTGCAGGGTTTCTACATGTAAGTAACTTTTACCCTCTTCATCCCTCCCCCATAGCACCTCAGCTCCATGTGCAAGGACAGTGAATGCATAACTAGGCATGCATTTGTGAAGTAACCATCACAGGCACAGACTGAAGAGAACACAACACTGGCAATGCTATCAAAGGCTGCTTTCGTTCATGTAAGAGACTGCATTGTTTGCTCAGGACTGAGCTGCTGGAGTTACATGCCCCTCACACGTACACACTCCCTCTCTCCACCCCTTAAAAACAGCTATAGTGGAGTGGGGGGAGACATCTATTAAGCCTTTTTCTGAATATTTCAAATTGTGGAGCCCAGGAACATACATTTGAGTGAATCAGTGCCATACAAGGCCCTCAGTCTGTGTTTACCACACCTGTGGATGACAATAAGGATTCTGTTCCCTGGGACAAAGGAGGCATAAGGCCCCAAATAATTGTTTTTTGGGGGGTGGAGGAGGAAAAATAAAGAAAACAATGAAGGAGAACAGAACAGGTGAGAGCAGAAGTGGATCTGAGATCTATCTAGCTACCACCGCACGGGTGAGTCTAAGTTGGCACGTAAAGTATTGCACATCCTAGAAAAGCAAAAAGCATGAAAAGGGGACAACTACTTGGAAGGACCCAGTCATTTCAGAATTCCTAAGTCTGAAATACAAGCACAGAACTAATACATTCCTATTGCTCCAAACTTTTTTTTTAAAATTTTAGTGTTAGTTGAATAGATTTTGTCAGTTTAATAGTCCCTGCTTCCTTAATAGCCAAAAAGGTGTGTGTGGTTTTATTTCCGATTTTCTGAGAATGTGGTGTGTTATGAAGATAGTGGTACAAAGGTGAACTCAGTTCGATAATTCTGCCCCACATCTTTCAATTCCTCTTACCTTCAAAGGTTAAAAGAGAACACAAAACAAAACAATACATTGCAAGTGCCCTGAGCAGAGTATATGGAAGATTAAGCAAGTTCTCTGAGCAGAAATGTTGAAAACTAAGCACTAAGTAAGCAGTATGACTGTGAGAACGAACCTGCTCAGCTATTTGGTAGCTTGCTGAGAGGTTAATAAAATTCAAGGAACTTCAATAAAAGTTTCAAGCTATCTTAAACTTACTTAAATGTTTTTGGTGCACCCCAGAAAATGGTATACAAACAATTAGTTCTGGTGTGTATTAAATTTCAAGTAACAAATAAGAGAGCCAAAAACTGGGGATTTTTCAGATTCTTCGACAAAGGAGTTGAAGTACTGTATTCCAAGGGAGCCTGAAAGCGAGATTTAAAAAAAAAAAAAAAATGTTCATTTTAGGAACTGTGTTTCAAATTAGGAACCTCTATATTTTTTCTCCCTATTAGCACAGCTTCTTAAAAAGTACTGGAAGGATGCAAACTTGACAACAAAACTTGACAAAGGTGAGAATAATGTAAAGGCTTAATCATGGAAGGCCTAATTTCCAGCCCACTGGAACTGATGCAAGTCTTTCCATGCACTGCAGTGGACTTCATCTCAGACCTGAAGTACCTAATACATGCACTGCCCATTGCCTTTAACAGGAGCCCAGGGTGCACTGCACCTCTGAGCCTCCCGTCCTATCTTCGTTTCAAGATTTCTGGGAACAAAAAAAGACTTTTATGTGTGAATCCTCCCTTCCCGTTTTGTACCAAACTCTGAAATCTAGATTGTATTTCAAATGGAAAATAAGTCATTAAAAATAACAAATAACAATAATAATAAAATAATAATAGTTATTTTAAAAAAACAAAACAAAACCTTGCTCATTATAGAAATGTCTCTTGTGGAAAACTCTCTCGATGAAGCTGAAGAAAAATTCTCAGAGTTGTCCTGCTAGGACCTGATTCTGTGTGGCAGATATGGTAGAAAGACTGAAAATGAACTCTGAAAGGAACATAACCTTATATGACGGCCTACGGCTTAGGCAGGTTAGTAAATAATTGCTACATTTGTTTATGCTCTGTCAGCCCCTCCCATCCCCACAACATTATTAGGTTAAAAACTGCAGGAATACCACACAAATGATCAACTCAAGATGTGCAAATTGCAAGATTCCTTAAAGTCCATCTTTTTCAAAAACACTGGACAATAATTATTTTTTTTTCCTCTTTCCTTTTTCCTTTCTCTTATTCTTTTATTATCTGTCAGCTCACATATGCCTTTAACTCTTTCTCAAGCATTAAAGTTTAAAAAGTGCCTCCTATTAAGTAGTCCTTTGTGGACAATGACTGTCACATACTAGTTCAATAATTCACATTCATCCCTTTGAAACCACATTAAAACTTTCAACATCTTCCTTGTGAGAAAAGTCTACATAGTCGTATGTAGTTACAGTGTTGAAGAGATTTGTTTTTTTTTTCCAAATAGATTAAAGTGAGAGATACAGTACTTATTGAGTGTTAGACCAGGATGCTCAGCAATAAAGTGTGAACAGCATTTTAAGTGCTTAAAGACATTCTATGTTCATCTTCAACATCACGTTCCTTGTGTCACACTGAAATTTGAAAAAAGTGGCACCAGTTGTCCATAGTCATGAACTAAAAACAGTACTAGAGTTAAAGACAAAGATTTGCAACCTAAATGCAAACAGTTTATGTCTGTGATCTCAAAGGGGCAGTATGCATCTACCTTGTGGAAGCAAATGTCAATGTCATAACCCAGTCGGTTTGTCTAACACTGCTCAGACACAGGAGGGAGAGCTAGTCAGGAGACTCTCAGAATTTTTGGCTTCCCACAATCCCCTGCTACCCCATGAAGTAAATCTTCCAGGCGAGAAAATTCAAAGATAGAAACTTGCCAGATGTTCTGTTCTGCACTAGCAAGTGGGAAAGAAATGTCTGCGCGGCAGTCGCTCCATGAATACAAATCAGTGCAGTCAGACCCCATGGGGTGTGTGCTTGCGTGCGTGCGTGCGCGCATGTGTGTGTGTATCCCTGTGCTCAAAGCTCTATAGTGTGTGTGTATATATACAGATATCGCTCTCTCTCTCTATATATATATAGATATGTATATCTATAGAGAGATCTATATATATATATATATGTATGTATGTATGTATATAGATATCGCTCTATATAGATATGTATATCTATATAGAGAGATCTATATCTATATATATAGAGAGATCTATATATATATATATATGTATATATGTATGTATGTATGTGTGTGTGTGTGTGTGTGTGTGTGTGTATATATACAAACACACACACTATACTGTATACTATAGAGTCGTGTGTACAGGTTGGCTTTATTGTGTAATGTGTCAAAAACTGCCCGATCCTATTTGTTAATCTGTTCTCAGCACTTGCCTTAGGTGAGGGAATCTCCTAATGACCCTGCCACAGAGCTCCAATCCCCTCCTGGGATGGGAAGGCATGCTACGCCTGCAGGGGTCTTAGTCTCTGCTACAGCTCACTTCTTGTCACCTCACAAAAAAAGAAAAGAAAAGAAAAGAAAAAGAAAAGAAAAAGAAAAACCTGACCAGCTGGAGCCTGGTCTACACTAGGTGTTAGAAATCAGGAGCCATGACAACACATTCATTTCCACTAAGGGTGTGCGAAGCAGATACTGCCCCTTCCGCAGCTCTCGATAAAACCTAGTCACTGACAAACACTTGTGGAAAAAACATATGCACCACTCTCCTGCATAATACCAGCTGCAACTATAACAACAAGGTTATAACATAAACCTAAAATAAGATGATAACATGTAAATACTGGGTTATTTAGTCTACAGTACAGTAATCTGGATAAAAATGACAAGGGATAGCCTAATTTCCTTTCCCCAAACAGCCTTTACTTTCCTACATTAGATCGACCTTCAATGCAAATCTTAACCTCCTGAGGAATAAAAGAAGGCTTGGGAAGAGTCAATGGTGGTTCCTCTTCTGATTTCTCTAGTTTCCGTGTTTCGGGGGCCGACCACCTCCTCTTCCTCGTCGCTGTGGGCTTGCTGGGTTCTGTTTTGGTGAGCAAAGGTGCTGCAGGCAATCCTATTTTGTCCGGAAACTTCAGTTCACCATTCTCAGCTAACATCTGTGCACTTCCCTGATTAATCCCGTTTTCCTGCTCCGCATACCTGTGTCTACTTCCAGCTAGACTGTCATTCTTTGAGTGCTTCAGCAAGATACTAGCTGAATCCATGGGCTGGCCCTTTTTAATCGAGCCGTTCTTCAGATTCTTGAGAGTGAGCGATATGCAGACATCCCCAACGGAGAGTTTGGAACATGGCAAATCGAAGAGCTGGCTGGTTCTCTCAGGGCAGCAGGAGGACCAGCCTTGTCCAAATACAAAAAAAGGGTATTCTACCAAAACTTCCACGCTGACCTGTAGGACAAGGAAAAATGAAAGGGGGAGGTGGAGGGGAAAAGAGAGAACGTGAATAGGAAAATATCCATTGTCTTATCTTTTATATGGCAAGCATGGACTCAGCCATGCATACGTTAGTAGTGGATGAAGAAATGCATAAATCTTTGAACTGTGAATGCCCGTAATGCCACTGCCATGAACATCAGACTGAACGTTTGTCCTTGTTAAAAAGGCATTAAGGAGTCCTCCAACAGCAGCGCATCCACAACGCAAAAAACTCAGCAGGGCTTGATCTGTATTATTACCTGTCCCTTCAGTGACATACAACTGACTGGTGAGGGAACCAGGGAATTATGTGATGTAGAGACCATTTTTTAAGGCTCCTTTTGTTGCTGCGCTTTGTTTTGCTCAGAGGCACATTCCCCTTTGTACAAGCTCTGGTATTCTCCAACCAAACCACTGTATGAAAAAAGACTCTCCTGACTAGACTATAGCCTGCGAATACAAGTCTCCTGGTAGATGTGCAATTAAAGGCACTATGGGATTTGATGTGTGATCCCCACAATCACGCTTCCTATCATGCTAGATGTGCATGGCAGGGGGTGTGACTGTGGGATTGAGCATCAGATCCCATCATGACATATTGGCAGTGCAGGGGTAGCCTGGGATCCGGCAAGGCAAGTAGAAGCTCCCACGGCTGGGAGCCTGAATCAGCTGATTGACGCTCCCAGCCATGGAGGTACAGTGACTCCAGCTGAGCCCTGAAGGCTGCGCCAAGAACTGCCACTGCTCCCAGCCAACAGGGCACGTGGGAGTCAAGGGTTGCGGCTGGGAGTGGCAGCTGCTCCTAGGTCCCAGCCTTGGAGGCACATTGGTCATATGCCCCCCTGGCTGGGACCAGCAATCAGCTCATTGACATTCAGCTTTGGGAACATACGGGAGTCAAGAGTTGCCATGCATTCTGCAGTCTAGGAACCTCGCTCAGCCTGGCTGCACATTCAATTCACAATGTGATAGGGACCAGCCACAAAGTTATACATGCTTTGTGTAGCAACTTGGTGACTTACGCTTTTGTTTTATCACACCATTAACTGCTTGAATATGTGGCCAGATAACTATTTAAGACATGATTAACTGGTTAATCGTTATCTTAAGTGCAATGTGTACCAAGGGCCCAAGAGACATGGAGCCTATTCTCAATCCTCTGCCCACAACTCCTCTGTCCTAAATTACCACCCCATCTTTGTCCAGGGGCAGTTGGAGCTTCTGTACACACTGAGTTGCTCATAGCATAGATCCAGACTTCTCGCCAGCACAGCTGTGGTGGTAGCAGCACATGCCAGCCAGGAGCACGTATGTACTGAGCTCTCTGATCCTAACCCCACAGAACACTTAGCGCACACTTACTTTTAAACATGTACACATTAAAGTACTCATATTTTTATATCTTTTGTTGGAGCCACCACGCTTCGCTGCTTCTGCGACGGAGCCTTTGCAGAGCAGCACCAAACACCTCCATCAGGGAATGCTAATTCGTTCTTACGCCGCCTGTTTGGAAGTACACTGCGCCCACCGGCAGGCTCTGCAGGGGCAGCAACAGCACTTGCGAACGTCCCACAAGCTGTTCTACTCCTCAGCTCCCAAGCTCTCCTTGTCTCTGTGGTTCCTCTCACACCAAGGCAAAACCCTGCTCTGATTATTAAGTCAGAAAATTCACAAAGAACTTGGGAACTTGTATATTACCCTTATCAGCTCTTAAACCAAAATTTGGCTCAGTATTTTTAAACCAGATCTTTAAGATCACAGAATCATAGAAAAGTAGAGCAGGAAGGGACTTCAGGAGGCCATTTAGCTCCAGACAGTGAAAGACTCTTTATCTCTCCTTTTTTTCCTTCTACTCGTCCAAAGGACTGTGTTGAGGTTCAAGATGCTTCGTGTACTCCTAGAATCCCAACAGCTTTGGTTGGAAGATGGAGAGGGATGCTCTGAGTCACCGTATTGTTGCTACAAGCACTGGGTAGGTTCTCAGGCCTAGAGGATCACAATGGTTCTTTTTGGCCATATAACTACTTCTGTCATAACAATTATTTGCTGAGAAACAGTGGCTTCAGAAGTGACTGCTATTAAGTACTAGATAATGGGTAAGATACCCAGGACAGCTGGAGGTCTTCCAGTTGAGAGCAACTTGCAGTCCAGCCTCTCACCAAGCACAGCTGGAAACAGCTCCCTCTGGATCTCCCATGTGTGCAAAGGAAACAACTTCTCTGTGAACCAAGAAGTTTTCTGTTCTCCTAGGAATGAGGACACAGCCTTCACAGCCTAGGAAGCCAGGAAGTCCCATCATATTTGGTTACAATTGTACCTGCACAAATCTATAGCATGCAAGAGCATATGGCTGCAGCTTACAACGCCAGTACTGCCAACTAAATAAACTTCTGAGGACATCCATAAATATATACCATATTTACTCTCATGCACCTTTCTCTCAAAAATACCAATATATACCATATTTACTCTCATGCACCTTTCGCTCAAAAATACCCCCCCCCCCTGCCCCCCACAATGGGGTGTGTCTTAAGTGGGGAAGCTGATTTTTCTTCACTGGAAGAGATGCAGGGAGGAAAGGAAGCATGGAGAAGCTGTGCTGTAAGATGGCTGCCAGTTTCTCTCTCAGGCAGCAAACAGGATGGGTGGAGTGTCATCTTAACCCTTTCACAGGTGCTCTCAAATTGGCAACAGGTTTAGACTGAGTATGACAAGTACTGTTGCCAATATCTCTCCATGAAAAAGCCAGCTCTGGAAAAATCTTTTCTTCTACATTTTGCCTTCCAAAAATGAGGCGGGTGTCTTACTGGGTTGTCGGAGGGGACAGTACATGAAAAAAAATTGGTACTATACAGAAGCATGATCAGACCAATGAGTTGCGATTTCCTAGTTGCTCTTTCTATCTACCAAAGTAAACTGTGTATAGGAAATGTTGCAAGAACCTGACTGCCTGTACTAGGTTTTTTTGACTCTTATAAACAAAGTGCCAGGGCATGAAAACCACAAATGATCTGCTCTGACTCGGTGTGATAATACCTTCTAGAGCAACCTGCCAACAAATAATTGCACTGGGGGCGGGGGGACAGAAGATATACCCAGCTCTGAAGCATGGATTAGGTCTATGGTATCAAGGAAGTTAGACTAGATGATCCCAGCACCTGCAAATGTATGAATCGTAGGCAGCCTATACCAAACATCAACATATCCCAGTGCCAGAGCCAAGGTTTTTCAAAAAGAAGTGCTGGAGGTTAGACACCATATCCATATATACACCACACTTACCTGAGTTTAAGACAAACCCCTCCCGCACATTTACCAGTGGGTGGGAAAGCCCCTCGTCTTAGAACCGAGTACAAGGGTGATAGGCAGGCAGGCAGCAGCTGTGGCTTGTGTTCCAGCTCCAACCTGGGGCTGTAGCTGCAGCTGCTGCCTGCCCCCCTCTGTAGCCTCTTCCCTCTATCTCCTTCCCACATGCAGCATCTGCTCCCCCATATGCCCCTCTCCCTTGCCCCCTTCCTCTTGTTCCATGCTAGCAGGCTCCATCCACGTGGCAACTTAAGTCACATAGCATGGCCCCAGCCCAGCCCTGTAGCACTGGCATGGCTGCTACAGGGGCCCAGCTGGGGCCATGTTTATTGCCCCAGGCTAAAACATGGATGGAGATAGCTGGCACAGAGCAAGGTAAGGGTAGAGGGGAAACAGAAGCAGAGGGGGAGGGTGGGCTCTGAGGCTGCAGGGGAGCAGGCGCAAGCATGTGGTAAGCTGCTTGACCCTCCCACACCACCTGCCCCGCTACTGCCTGCCCCCCTGCAGCAGTCAGGGGAGATGAACTGAAGATGATCCTCCAATTAGATTCTATACATGGAAAATTATTAACAAATTATAATTTTTCCATATATAGAATCTAATTATTGAGGGGTTGTCTTCAATTCAGGGTCATTTTAGATTCAGATAAATACAGTAGGCACCTAATTAAATGTCCTGATTTTTCAAAAGTGCTGCCATTAGCTTTAATGGAAGCTGCTGGCTGTACAGTGTTTATGGCCCCTATGCAGATATGTAGATCATCTGGTTGATGTTGAATCTACTACTCAGTCTATTAGTACTCTTGGACCCTGCTATTTTTCCACCCTTTCTTTCCCTTCTCCCCTTCAATTCGTACTTTTTTCTTTTCATTTTCCCTTAACATGTCCCATATGCACTCTAAAGGGTGTTTCAATGCAACTGCACAGCTCCTACCTTCTCTTTACTGGCACCCACCTGCCTCTGGCTATAAGCAATGTTTGGACTACACATTGTATCATTTTTATAGGTTCAACAAGTAAACTATTTACTCGAAGAGTTATCCATTAAAACAGTCTTCAGCACTGCAGATGGTGCTCCTGAACCATAAAGGTGGGAGGAGGCTAACTCCTGAGATAGTGCTGCCGTTCAGTCATGACGTTCGTACAAACAGGACAGAGATGTCTGTAAGGGAGGGCGTGATCCTAGAAAGAAGAAAATTTGGAACTACCGCTATTTTACACAGCAGACCCTAATAAAACCTAGCTGAAATCAGAGGCATAGCTATCAGGTTTTGCACCCTAGGTAAAACCCTGCCCTGTGGGGAGAGGCGGGGGTGTTGAACCCTGGATAAAAATCTGAGGTGCAAGGGGAAGGAGAGCAGCCTACTTCTGTATCTCCTATTAGTTGGGCTCTAGTGATCATATCCTGCTAGTTTTGCTTCGCGGAACTATTAGATTGAAATCCCACAAATACTTAAAAAAAAAAAAAAAAAAAAAGCTACCTGAGTCACCTGGCTTTGCTGTCTTTTTTTTTAGAAGCCAAGTGAAGCTGTTTGGAAGTCACATCTCCATGCTTCCATCATGTAAAAGTATGAACCAAGAAAATAAAATGTTAGCTTCTTTCCAAGAACACCTGAGGATGCTGCTGAGCTACTTTATGTTTTGCTGTTTTAAAAATCATTAGTGAAA